AATTCGTTCCAAAACGTTCTCCATCCGTCCATGGTATATCGCCAAGTGTGGCAACCCTAAAACTGCTTTGTGGGGGAAGCTATCTTACCACGCCTGTACATTTCGTAACAATATCATCACAATGTATTTCTTCAAACTGTATGAACTGCACCTTTGAGAAGTATTACGGAACAAAACAAGTGGCTGAAAGATTTGGTTTGCTTGCACTGTATCTTGTTAAAGTGGCACATTTTAGCTGCTTCCACATATTTGAATTGAAATATTTCACACGAATAATATAATAGAAACAGAACATTAAAATATTTTATAAGAATTTTAAAATGTGAGAGATGCAATATATATGTGCTGCTCTCTTAGTTTGGCAGTATATTTATTTTAATTCAGCTGAACTTAACAGGAACTAGTAACCTGTATGCATCACACGTCAGAATGAATCTTTGAAGTCATGAAATAAATCGATAGATATTTTCAATGAGTTCTTTCATTGAACTACATTAGATAAACAATGAAATAGAACAATTGATTTTAGCTGCTTTTAATGTCCCTACTCCAATTTACGAGATCAGAAAGTCCTTTCTTAAAAATTTGTTTAAAATTACATTCTACTTATATAATTCTCTTCAAATTCTTTCTCCAAAAGATATGAAATGCAATATCAGTTCACTTTCTAGCTTTTTAAGCAGTCAACAGCAATAACTTTTTTTGCAACTTAACATTTAATAACAAACACTTTAATACTTCCTTAGTATTTCAGTTTGGCTTTCAAGAAAACTGTTCAAATAACTAAAAAGTAATAATTTTATATTACATCTATGTGCAATGAATAACACAATATTTAAGTCATGGTTAACATTTTGTGGACAGTTGCATAATAAGCAACAACGAAAGTCAATGTCCTGTAGCTTTACGAGACGCTGAGTTTTACTTTGCAATTTTACCCATTTTAAAAACGGCCTTGTATGACTCCTACAGAGATGAAAATGAAATAAGTTAGTGATAGTTATTACTCTGAGGAAAGTTATATATATATATATGTTATTTTTTGAGCAATGATTCAAAAGCAGATGAAAATGATTCGACCATTGACGATGAATTGGACTAGACTGAAGTTGACGAAAACACAAATCTGGAAGTGTTTCATAAAATTACGTGAAAAACAGTGAAAGGTGCAAAGTGAGTCATGATATTCTTGATAAATTCTGGCTTGTCAACTCTTAGTGATCATAAATATATGAACCCCTAGTGGCCTATTCACTCAACCAATCAAAAGGAAATTTCAGATATTGTTACTTGAAGGTATGCATTTGAGATTGTGATTTAAATAGAATTCTGACAGTTATGGTTATAATGAAAAAGTTTTGTGCGGGCAGAACTCACCTTTTCCCCACACAAATTGATCAGTGCACTGAATGATTTTTTGGAAGTAGGAGATCTGAAAAATGAGCAGTGCCCTGGCCAGACTCGAACACGCACCTCTCGAATTCGCGTCGAGCGTGCTGACCACTACACCTCAAAGAGAGGAGATATAACTTATATACTCCCCCTTTTTAAAGGGCGACTTGGGTTTTAGGGGACTCAATCGCCAAATCCTGGTAGTGAAGAATCATCATTCACCACCTTTTTAGTTCAGGGGTCACTGAAGTGTCATTAGGATTTTTTGGAAGTAGGGGATGTAAAAGATGAGCAATGCCCTTGCCAGGATTCTAACCACGGACCTCTCAAATTTGTGTCAAGCATGCTGACCACTACACCACGAAAGCGGGATAAATACCTTATACTCTCCCCTTTTTAAAGGGCGAATGGAGTTTTATGGAACCCAATTGCCAAATCTTGGTGGTGAAGAATCATCATTCACAACCTTTTTAGTTCAAGCGACACTGTAGAGTCATTAGGATTTTTTGGAAGCAGAAGATGTGAAAAATGAGCAATGCACCCCCCCCGACGGTCTTGAACCAGGGACCTCTTGAATTCGCATCAAGCGTACTAACCATTGCACCACGAAGGTGGGTGAAATACTTTATAAAGTGGCATATATATATGACAAAAATTACTGGTGTAAAACATTTACATAGAAGAGGGAAAAGGAACAATGACAACATGGAGAGGAGGTACACTTTGCATAATTCACAAGGATATACAGTAGAAGCATCAACCATAGACAACCATGTCAAAGCATTGCTTGTGGAACACCTTTAGTAAGCAGTCTGGGAAGACTTCCTTCATGCAGGTGTTCGAACATGCTAACAAGATGACACTTACAGGCTAACAGCAAGGTAAATTGATAAAGGTGTTTTATATGAATGGGGAAAATGCTGCCGAAGCAGTGAGAGTTTATCGGCGAAATCATAAGCTAAGATGACTGTGTTCTGTAAAAACTGTATGCGACTTGCTAAAAAGATGTGAAGAAATTGTATTACTGGACGTCAATTGCATATTGTGAGAAATGTTGCCCACAATTTGGATGTACCAAACACTACAGCTAGCTTCTGCACATGTTTCCTTATTGATTCTAGCATGTCCAGACATTGCACCCCAGGAATGAACAACAAATTTTTTCCTCATCAGGATATGATAAGATAGCCAGTGATTGCTGTGGATATTATGGATGAATATGGCATATACGGAAGCGTAAACTCCAAGAACTGCATTCACTGGGCTGATAAAAATGAGCACAATGTGGCAGCAGTGTTCTTACACAAAACTAGTGACTACGTGGTACAACACTGGAATCGCATTTGTTCTCAGTTCATACTGCTTTGAAGAGGTTACTTTTACAGATATAAAAATATATTGTGTCACAAGTGCTCAGTATACAACAATGTTGCAGAATTACATAATTAAAGAATTGAAGCAGTGAAATGTCATTAATGACACTGTACGGATGCAAGATAGTGCTCCTCAACACATGTTTGGTGCTGCAAGGGCACTTTGGAGATAGATTAATTTCCCGTAATTTTGCAGTTTCATGGCCACTGCGATCCCCGACCTCACTCTGATAAATTTTATGGAATATAAGGAGTACACATCAAATTCACTAGATTTTTAACAAGTGAAAGATTCCACGAAACACGAAGTTACACAAAATCTACTACATGCTATGCATTATTGTTTGCAAAGTTGGGGGACATGGAAAATTTGTAATCCAATAAAATTTTTTTCAATGTGTTGATTAACTTAGACAGGGAAAACATGGGTATTGCCATTTGAATATGTTGAAATTTTCAACCTTCAAAAAAATAATATTTGGAATTTCATTTATATTGGTTGATCGAGCAGGCCAATACGGGGGTAAATTTATAAATAATATATAAATGTTTAAACTGGGGGGGGCAATGATATATATATATATATATATTTTTAATACTGTTGGATGTTGGATTAAATCTATGCAACAATATTAAGAAACAATGCCTTCATAATATTGAAGCTCATTTCAAGTCAAGATAATGACTTAAAATTATTATCAAATATAAATTCGAACTGTTAATGTAAAATATCCCATTGAAAAGTGTTGCTTTTTTATGGCTCATTCAAGACATGGTGAAACTTAATATACTTGCAGCTTTTGTAAAGTGGCTCTAACTAAAAAGAATTGCTTTGAATGTTAGCATTCATTGATTAAATACAACATACATAAATTATCAAGTTGATCAACATGAGCAGTAACTAAATTTGCCCACTGTATGTTCAAATGTTGAAAACCACACATACTTTTTATATTTTAGAATCTATGTTAAAATTTTAAGTCCCAATTTAACTGCATTGTGTTTAAAAAATAACTACACCAGATCATTAAGAACTATTAGCCATAGCTCAGAAACAAACTGGAAATGATAGACTTTGGCAGCTGATAATCACTGAAATTCATTGCTTTAAGTTCAATGACAATGTTCCTAGTCCTTCCTTAACGGGGAGGTATTATATTAATATTTTTAAGTAATTTCATAGAAAATAATTTGGATTCTATGTTAAATTGTTAATATTAGTAATGACCACAACACAAGCATTTAATGTATAATTTATTTTTCAATCAATAACGAGATCAGCTGCCTTTAGGAATTCATATATTTACATATTTTACCAGGAATAAATTACTCCTGTTGTATATTTCATTTTTTACAGTTAAATACAATATACATTCTATAAAATTATAATCACAGCAGGACAAAGTCATTTTAAATTAAAAAAAATCCACACAAAAAAATCACATATAAAAGTAATATAAAACCTCAAAATTAATTACAGTCAAAAGTCGTTAATTCGGACACCCATAATCCGGACCTCAAAGCTAAAAACTTTCTGCGCATGTGCCGCGTTGGCACATGCGCACAGGCGTTTTACGCGTGCGCATAAGACCTTGACTAAGTCTAAGATAAGACCTTGTGTGCGCAAGTGCAGAATACAATTTCGCCTGCACGTTTAATGTATAACAGACGGTGTAAGCTAAAATTATCTAATTATCTATTTCAGTTAATGTTAATCATTGCATTGTTCCTTAATCTTCGAAATGGATCCTGCTTATTATTTTTTGCAGACTGTAAGAGCAATTTTATAAAAGTAAACTTGAACTTTCGATTATGTCAAATAGAATTTCCGATGCTGGAACTTCCAAAGGATCTACAAAACGAAAGTATGTTTCGATGTCCAACAAATAAAAAGTGGAATTGCTGCAAAAAATGGATAAAGACATGAAGAAGGTGACAGAGAGGTTAGTGAAAATGAAAAAATTTCGATTGACAAGTTAGTAGGTATTCTCGGCACAGCAATTAACGGGACTTGAACAGCGGGACTTTGTAACTGAACAAGAAATTATGTCTGTTTATAGAATTAAAGAGAAAGTATTATCACATAAAATGAAGCAACTTAAACAACTTACATTGAAAGAAATGTTTAATAAAGTAAACAAATAAATATTAAGCTTTTTTTTTTTTTTTTTTTTTTTGTAAATTTTGATACCCTTTAGATCATAATTGTTCTTTATTTCATAAATTACAGTTTCATATTTTTAATTTTAGAATTTCTGCATGCCATCTTACGAGATTTAAACTGATGATCCGGAAAAATCGATAATCCGGAATCGCCGAAGTCCCGACGAGTCTGGATTAACGACTTTTGACTGTATTAGGTTTTATGTTATATCACAATAGACAATAAATCTAATACAATTTAAACATCATAGTAACTAATTTAGCAATAAAAAAATTCCATCTCAAAAAACAAAACAAAACTATTTAGTAAACTTTCCTTAAGATATAAAGATTACAAATTGAAATATGTCACAACCTTGAGAAACATAAATTTCATATTTTTTTTTACACCAAAAATTAAAAAACTAGTGCAAATAAATAAATAAAAAAAAATACATGTCTATATTATATAAAAATAACAGAACTTCTAAAAAGCATATGAAATTAGCAAATCTAAATTACATAAATTATCAACAGAATTAAATACTGCTTCATATGAAATATACTCTAAAATTCTCCCCTGTTAATACATAACAATGTCTCCTTATAACAAAACAAATTTTTTTTCCATATGTTGTCGTTATCTCATCATAATTTTGAATATGTAAGAAATGCAAATTTGAAAACACTGCTATACATAAAAAGCCACTACAAAATTTTAAGAATTTTTTTTTTGGAAGTTGTGCTGAACTGGACTTCAGTAATTCTAAATAAAAAGAACCTACAATATTTTAGGGAGGACCATGTTATAGTTTATATCACAAACACATAACAATTAAATAATCATTTAAAAATTAATAGCTACTACATAAAATGCCCTCATTGCATACACACTAAAAGTATTTAAAATCATATAATTTTGTTTTTCATAAAAACAAATACTGTATGTTATGCTTTTAATTTTTCTTCTCAGCCATGATGAGAAAGAAAAAAGTGTCATAATGTCATTTTTTATTAAATAATATTAACATCAAACAGACCTACTTAAAAAATTACTAAACAAATTCAAATTAATTAACCATTTGATACTGCAGTTAAAATAAATGATGTGGATCAATACTTTTTACAATGTATATTTTAAATTTTTAAACAATTTATATTTGCAGTTACATAAATTTACATTTTTATGAACCTAATCAACACATTAAAAGTGAAAACATAAAAAGCTTCTTATTTTTCATTACACTTTTTTATTATTTTATAATACTGGGGAAAAAAATTCATTTTATTTTTCAAATAATAAAGCATTCATACCCATATTTCACATATTACAGAAAGATATCATGCAGTTAGTACTTATTCAGATTATTAGAATGAAAAAATATACATCAAATTCTGTTATATCTTTGATTGTCAGGTTTCATTAAAATAGGAAACGATAACTTTTATGATGATTAATTTTAAGCAACAAATCAAGTGTTTTATACTGTACACATCTTTCCATTCAAGTGTAAAAATTAAAGAACTTTTTTTTACTCCTTTGAATAATATATTTGTTAAAGCATTTCAGTTGATTATTTCGCCGACATCCTAAAATATTTAAGTCTGCTATAATATAGTTACTTTAATACAAAACATTTTTGGGAATTCTCTTAGAAAATACTGCAACTACTAACTGCTGTAGCAGCTTCCCATTATTAATGGCCAACAACTTACAAAAAGTTTGATCTCACTATGTCTTTGTTCAGGAGAATACTCTTAAAAGAAAGGCGTTACAAATTGCTTTTTTTCTTACTGTTATTTTTAGTTAATAATAAAATAATTTATTCCATTTGAAAAACCGATATTAAATGCCCTTACAGCTATGTTTAGGCGAAAGAATTTAGGGTCATAAAACAGGAAAGTTCAGTTTTTAGGATTACATGATATTTATTTTTCAATATCTTAATTTTAGAAATTTTAAATAATTGGGCAAAATTTGCTTTCATAGAATGAAAATACAATAACCTGTCTACCATAAATTAAATAATATCAGCAGAATAGTTTGAGAAACAACAGATGATGATATGAATGCACTGAAAAATTTTAAATATATACATATGAATATTTTCATTCAGCTTTATGAATTCTTCATTTTAAAATTTACATTAAAAAAAAGAGGGAAACCTAAAGTGTCAACATAATGAACTTCATTTTCCCTAATAAATTCATAGTTCAATTATTGATGCTTGCAAAAACTAACATTTGTCTAGTGATATAAGCAGGTCTGAGAGGATAATTAATTAACCCAAAAGAGTGTAAACTAGTTTGTATTAATGATTTTACAAAGATGATTTAGGGATACTGACTTCAGTTTATCATGACAGAAATGGAAGAGGGGAGAAAGAGAGCATAATAACAGTAATAATAAACTATTTTAATTAAAAAAATTTATCATGAAAACATTAATTTCTATTGCAGTTTGTTGGCGGAAAATATTTAATTTCACATTTAATATTTCAGAGTACGAATAAATATTCTCAAACTTAAAAAAAAAAAAAAATATATATATATATATATATATATATATATATAATGCATCTCGTTCATATAGCGACATATAACACTTCTGTAACAGCAAACTTAGTAATGAATTATAATGAGTCGCAGAAAGGGAGCGGCCAATAAATTATTTTTACGGTTTTTCTCATGTGTAATGTGAATATGAGTCAGTCGACCTTAGAAAATTTTCCATGAAGGTATTCCCTTAAGTCAATAGCTCTCATGTGTTTTGTCATAATAAACAAGCAAACATATGCCAAATGAAAGGGGAGAAAAACACCCTTATAAAATATTTTTAGGAAACAACGTTGTTTTTCAAAATGTTCTCAAACAATTACTAAAACAGTTTAGTACGTAAAAGCAAAAGTACGATCACTAAAATTTAATTTAAGCATTAATTATTTTAATTTTTTAACTGCTTATTTTTATATTTTCAAAAATACACTTATTTATAAATAGACATAAAACAGTAATCATTTAGAGATTTACTAATGCTGAATGCATTTTTATAGAGGAATTACTACTTGTGGAATATATTACCTTTTAATTCAAATTTTAATTCTAATAAATAAATACCATTGCACTGTTTTATCACAAATTTTCATTCTCACTCTCTTTGAAAAAAATTATTTTTCTATCCAAAAATGATGGAAAATTTTGCCTTCAGTTTCCCAACCACAACATATTTACCTTTTCGAGTTGCTCCTTTTACTTCTAAGGCTAACTTTCTACATGCATATCACTTATGATAATTCTGTTTACTAACTCTTTCTAATTACTAAACACAACCACATTTGTAGATACATGCATTAACTGACAGATCCTTCCTGGAGACTTCCATGGACAAAGAACTACTTTCTGAAATGTGATCTAAAACTGTCAGTAAAATGGAAGGGAGAATAGACATACATTCTGTAGCTAAAATAGGATACTTTCATTTCCAAATGATGAGAAACAGAGTTAAAATAGGTGTTATATGGAGGGAGGGAATTAAAATTATTATAAAAACATCGTTACTGATATCAAGAAACACTATATTGTTATGAAAAGTGAAAGCTCGGACTGACTTTATTACTATAGTGTGGACTAAGGACTATGGAAGATTCAGCATTCTAAAATTTTGAACAGAAATGTATTTTTAACAATCTTTCACACAATTTAAATTACTTTTATGATGGCTTACATACATGTGCATTTATGTATTTATTTTTACAATTAAAAACAATCTTAAAATTATTACACTTTATGCCCATTTTCTTATAATTCTTAAATACTTTAACCTCTGAGTACCCAGCCTTGAACAGCTACACATATACAGAATTTGTTGGGCAAACTTTATTAAAGAAAATAAGACAGAAAATATTTTAACCCATTCAGGACCAGTGTCGCATATACGTGTCTCTGATCAATCTACAGCCCAGCATCGAGTATATGTAACTTGGAAAATGGAATGATTTATTTGAATTTTTAAATGTTAGTAGATGGTGCTAAATGGTAACTGTTTTTACATCGGTTACGGTCACGTGGCTTTTGACATGCATGTATGAGCATCAGTTTTTGTTCTGTGGTTTTGATAGATATACTGGTGTAAACAATGTGGGAATGACAGCTCTTTAAGTTAAAGGGACACCGACATGTTTGTTTATTTCGTTAGGAATTTTGTTTTTTTGTTGTCTTCATTTTTACTCTTTGCGTTTTTCGTTATTAGAATGTGGGAAAATGCACCCAGCTCAATGTTTTCTTTTCTTTTTGTTGTTAGGAGAATGCGGGAAAATGCATCTAGCTGACTATAAAAACTTAGACCAGTTGTCCATTTTTATATTTATTTTAAAATTTAACACAGACTTACTTGGTTAATTAAAAAGTAACTTTAGAGCATTAATACAAAAGGGGAAGATATCAGCTTTCCCGATGCGTGATGCATCGGCAAAAAAAGCCGCCATTGTCCTGTGTGTCAATTCTCATTTTGAATAATTCCATACACAGCAGAATTATTAAATTGGAATTTAATTACCTACAGATAACTATTACTTAATTTTCTTTTACATTTTGTATTTCTAATTCTGTTTTCATGTGTATAGTACTTGTTTTTATGCTTATAATTATAATTTTAATATTTTGCATGTTTCATTTATTTCTATTGCGATATTCTTTATATTAATACATATTAATAATTAATGTATTACATACATAACTTCAAAAACTGAGGTCATTATACTAAAATGCTGATTTTATATGAATTTTTTTGTAAAAGTAGGCTTAACCGCTGAAATGTGTTGGCCGGTGACGGTGTTCCATTTCAGGCGGTTTGGTCCTGTGGCTGCACCTTGTTCTCTGCGCACTGGTCCTCAAAGGGGTTAGGTAACAATCTTATATAGTCAGAGCTGCAACAAAGATGTAGTCAAACATTAAATGTTTCTTTTCTTCTTTCGTTTACAACATTTTCTCTTTACTTCAATTATGTGATACCATATGATTCAGGTATTTATATTTCTATGCAACACAATTTGTGCTCTGCATAAAAAATTATTATTGCATGGAAAAATACAATATAAAAAAGGATAAGTTAATGAAAAAATAATAATACACCATTTCTTAAGATTTATGACACAAGAATTCTGATGGTTATTAGATTACAGCCATAAGTAAAAATATAAATTTCTTACAGCAATTTCACGCTATCAGCACTTTATATATTGATTTAATTAAATACAAAATTTATTCCACAAAAATTTAATATTAAAAAGATTAAAAGACTATTTTCAAAATAAATTATGCAAACATACATAATATTAAATAAGGAAAAGCAAGAAAATAAAAACCTCTTGTTTTTAAAACATACTTAATTTTTTAAAAAGTGATTCAACTTAAGAATAAGTCAGTTAAATATTTCTTAGATGTTTGCTAGTTTCTCTTTTAAAAAATAAGAAAAAATGCTACTTGCCTTTTCTCAGAACAAATTATAAAATCTTTATAATTTTCAAAACAACATCCCCCAAACAATTCCCCCCTCATGAATTAGTCAGCAAGCATTTAAATCATGAAAATCACTTTTTAAAATCTATTAAACAAGATTCTACATTTTTTAAATATTAAACTTACTTAATGAAACAATAAAAATTTAAACTTACATCACAGCGATCAACATCAGTGTTGCAGAAAAAATTCGAAGCACAAATTAAATACCCATATTTACAAAACTTTCAAAATAAAAATTTTGATATAAAAATATTTTTTTAAAATTTATTTTATGTTCTTCAGTTTAAGTATTAATTTTTTACACATGAAAATGTAAAATGATAGAGGGGGAAATATAATTTTCAACAAAATCTTATATTGTTCAATAGAAAATATTTTCTATGTTTAAAAAATCAAGAGAATTATTTATGATAAAGAAAATTGTAAAAGTGTATCTTCTACATATGAGTTGGTTATTTTTTATGTGTGTACATATATACAACACATTGTCTGGAATAAAATTTATTCCCAAGGACAACCTACTGCATCCCAGAAATCAGGATTCAATTGTATGATTGAATGTTCTTGAGCGATTGCAGCTAATTCCTTCAGAAATTCTTCTAGGACAATAGCACACAGAATAGCATTCTTTGCTTTTACAGATTCCATTTCCCCTTCCAGAGAGTATGGTGTCGGTTTGCTGACATACCTGGAAAGCAACATGAAGTATATATTTACTTAAATTCAAAATATATTTTAAAAGAAATTACAACCATTAAATTGAAATGTACATATAATGTCATAATCATGTGAATTAATTAAAATAATATTATTTAAATTATACATTAGAGACAGCTTACCTGTAACCATGACCATCTGAAATGGATTCCAGTGTAGGTTCTTTGCTAAAACTGTCTCTGTTTTTCAAGAAGTTACTTTTACGAAACAAAAAACTTGTCAAACTTCTTCGACGAGGTTCTCCTAAAAAAATTGTTTTTTTTTTTTTTTTTTTTTTTTTTTTAAGTTTACTTTCTTCTACTTCCATAGCAAAAATCTGATGAAAATCAATATTGAATATTCTCTAATTACCTGTATTTTTTATATACAAAAATTCATATCAGAATCAAATCTATAAAGATGCAATATTTACTGCTATTGTATTACATTTAAGAGTTCTTTTTTTAAACCACATTCCTAGTATCATTAATGGCTAAAACAAACTGCATACAAGATAAAGTGTAATTTTAAAACTACAGCAACTATGATATCATATTATTTCCTAGATTCTACTTTAAAATGTTGATATTAGACAAATACAAAATCATAAATAAACAAGTAGGTAATGTTTTATTTTGCCTTAAATATGTTTTGTGAGAAATTTCTATTCACTAGCATTATTGCTTTAAACATGAAAATGTATTAACTAAACTACATTTTCATCATTGATAACTGGGATTTAGATGTATTATGTCTCAAATTATAATGCTAGCTTTTATTTAGGAATAACTTCACCTTTTAGCAGATATTTTATTTCAAAAATAATTTCTTTAAAAAGAAAGGTTTTGAAAAGCACATTTTAAATTCACTTAGTAATATTTTCACCTATGCAGTCTAATTTTAGGTAGAATGATACAATGGATTTATTTTTAATAATACTTCAGTTATTCATATCTTTTTATTTTAAACAATTTTAAATATGCAGCCAGGATACAATACATTAAAATCTCTTGTAAACAGCACCCAAATAATTGGTAATATCAAAATAATGGCACTTTGGAAGGTCTATATTTAATCTCAAATTTGAGTTTAGAAGATAAAGATGTATGTAATGGGCTAACAATCTGAATGCAGAAAATATTCATGTTAAGTTTCTGCCACCCAATGTTTAAGTCTTAATCTAAACGTTTAACCAATAAATATCCAGAATTTAAAGATGAACTACCAATCCCTTTCTATGCACTGATGTTTGGAGGTGGCATCCATGATTTTCAGAAACAATTCATGTTAAAACATACCACATATACTTTGTCTCTAGCTGGGAAGTATAAATTACAGCATATGATCATAATGACAGATGATGAAGATTCTCCTGATTATAAAACACGTCCAGCAATTGTAGGCAGTATCTTGAATTTCATTATATTTTGGGAAGATTAACAGAAGAGAAGAGAGATGCAAGAGAAAAAACAATCCTTAACTCCATTGTATTCTTATCCCTTCGAGTGTGAGGATGTGGACTATAATATATCAGATTCTGACCTATATCAGTTTCTTAATTCTATGATTCTCATATCCTAGAGCTTACAAAGTTCTTCTATCATAGATTTATAGTCAGTATGCAAGAATGGAACCTTATAAAACCTTTGAACCGATGAAACAAGTTGTTTCTAAATTAACACAATTATACTAATTCAGAAGTCAAACAACAAAAATCAGCGTTAATTTACGAAATTTTCACAGGACTAGTTTCGATGGTTTTACCGAACCATCATCTTCAGCTGCAAAACCGCAAATGAACAAGATAGGAAATAATGTTTAGATAAGATAAGAAAGCCTGGACAAGAATAAGCAAGTGGCGCCATCTGTTGGCGAAACCAGAACTAAAACATAATTTCTCTAAAAGCCGAAGGCAAATTTGGATTGGAATTAGGATCGTTAACTAGAACAGAAAGATTTTTATGAATGTGAAATGCCTCTAGAAAATCCAGTTCTCCAATAGAAGATGTTATTTGAATAATTTTGGCAGCAGAAAAATTGAAAGTGTGATTTTCGGACCAACAATGTTGAGCAACAGAAGACTTCTGTGTTCCTTTTTTCTAACATATGCCTCATGTTCTTTGACGCGAAATTTTAAGGCTCTCTTAGTTTGGCCAATGTAAATTAAACCACACTGGCAAGGAATCCTATAAATACCCCCCAGGAATTCATATCCGGAATGGGGTCCTTGAGTATAGAAGTTGGAATTTTATTGATGGGAGAGTAAACAACCCGAAAGTTAAATTTCTGCAAAATATGTGCAACTTTATAGCTAATTGATGGAAAGAAGGGAATGACAACAGAATTTTTATAATCTCCTAAAATAAGAGTGTGGCTTTTAGTGTGTTGAGATGAGAATTTTTTTAACTGCTTGATTAATAATGTTGGGTGAAAAGCCCCTGTCAATAGCTATTGCTTTTAAATAATTTAGTTCTTCATCAAGGGCTAGTTTGGAGGAGCAAACTTGAAGAGCACGGAAAACATAGGAATAAAATGAAGCTAACTTTGTTTAGTCGGATGACATGATTTAAAGTGTGGTGGAAGGCAAACCGATGAAGGTTTACGGTAAACTGTAGTACTGAAGTTGGATGTGTTACGTGTGACCAGAATGTCGAGAAACGGAAGAGAATTGCAAGTCTCAAGTTCAAAAGTGAACTGAATAGCAGGATCAATAGAATTCATTGTTGAAAGAACTCTATTTAAATCATCTTTATTACCTTCAAACAGGGTAAAAGTATCGTCTACGTAGCGGAACCATGCCGGGAAGTTTAAAGTTTCAAACAATTTTGATTCATAATAATGCATGTAGATATCAGCCAGGATGGGACTGAGGGGGCTTCCCATGGCTAATCCCTCAGTTTGCTTGTAATATTTATTTTGGAAAACAAAATGTGTTTGTTTCAAACAGAGTTGAGTGAGAGAAATTAGCTCATCAATTTCGATGCAAGAGAAATGAAATTCGCGAAGTCTGGTTTCTAGACATCTTAATGCACCCTCCACTGGAACATTGGTGAATAATGATTTTACATCAAAAGAAACCATGAGTAAATTACGAGGAGAAATGTTTTTAACCTTTTTTACAAACTCTATTGAATTTTTTATGGTGTAAATGTTATTGTCTAATAGAGTGGAAAATCTAGAAACTAAATATTTAGCTAATGGATACGAGGCAGTACCTAAATTTGATACAATAGGGCGGAAAGGAATACCACTTTTATGAATTTTGGGAAGAGCATATAATCTGGCACAATTCGCAACAGATGGGATAAGCGAATGTTTTTAAGTTGCTTGAAATGATTTGCGAAGATTTGATCGCAGTTTTTATTTTGGATAAGTCCGAAGGTGAAGGATCTTTAGGGATCGGATTATATGGTCCTTCGTTTAAGAGTTTAGTGACACTATCGATGTAAGTGTTCTTATCCATGACGACTATCTGGCCACCTTTGTCGGTTTTGAAATGACAATATCCGGGTTAGAATGAATCTCGCGCATTGTAGCTCTTTCTCTCGCAGTTAGATTTGGTTTCAAAGGTTTATTATTGAATTTCACATTATGAGCGATAAGATGCCTAATCATCTAGCGATAAGATGCCTTATCTAAACATTATTATTATCTTATCTAAACATTATCTTGTTCATTTGCGGTTTTGCAGCTGAAGATGATGGTTCGGTAAAACCATCGAAACTAGTCCTGTGAAAATTTTGTAAATTAATGCTGATTTTTGTTGTTTGACTTCTGAAATTAGTATTTATTTGGCGTGTTATTGTGTCTTAATTAACACAATTATGTTTTCGTGTTATCTAGTTCGCCAGCCAAGTACTCATGAAACTAGCTAGAGCTGCGCCAAAGCTTGTTAGGTTTTTGCAATTGAAAATACCCAGGGTTAAATAACTGAATTTTAATTTAGTTTTTATTACTTTACAGCCTTCTATTTGCTAAAGAAACAAAGCTGCAAATGTTCATTATAAAATAAGGTTGACAGAAACCCTAGATTTTAAATAGATACCTTAAAAGTAGTTGCAAGGTTCTCCAAATAATTTGACATGCAACAATTCCTTGATATTCAATTTCAAGCAGGATTACATGCATTCCAAAGACACTGACAAAGTTTTCTCCAAAACAGTTAACTCCACAACAGATATCGCTAACTTTGTGGATAATTTTGTAAAAACATTAAAATTTTTTTAATAGATCTCAGAAATGTTGAGCAAGTTATTTATTTAGTCTACAACCCTTTAAAGAAATTATGAAATTGCTCTTATATGCTGTTATGGCCACATCGAGCCAGTTATTTGAAGATACTGTGTTTAACTTTAGAAGCTTATTTCTGTTTTGAACTGTAGTTTAATTCCAGAGAACTGCTAACATTTCAATTTCTTATTTTTAAGTATTTCTCCTAAACTTCTCCCTATTTGGCACTCAAACTAAAATGTTGAACAGTAACATATCACCAGACTTGGACAGGCCAATTAGTGGCTCTCTTCTCACCTTCACGTGCTTAAGCCTTAGAATAGGGAATGCAAGGATTTGAAACTACTTGTGATGCAACAGCTAGCACATCTAGCCACTTTCAAAAGCCCCCATCTGATTCCAAGAAGGAAGTTTATTTCCAAAAATTTCTTGCTCTCAACACTTTTCTTTTCCCTTAACTTGAGCAAACAGAAACATCTCAACATTTCATTTGCAGAATCGAAATTTTGATCATGCAATCTGACTGGTAGATAGCAGAGGTGAGTAGGGCACCAGAAACTTCACCAGGAATCATACAGATAACATCCCAGCACAATAACCATCTTAAGAATTAACCCTACTGTGAAATAACCATACCATAAAATGAGTACATTGCTGAGTTTGAATGGAAGAAGTTTGTACACATTTCTGCACATGGAAATTAAGCACCTTTAAAAACTTTTAAGGACCCTCAATGAAAAAAATTAAGGATCTATCAAGCAAATAGGAACTGAATACACTAAAACAATTATTAACATTCGAAATTCAGTTTTGTAACACCACTTTTGTAATTTGTAAGAATAAAATAAATCTAAAATCTATTATTATCAAACATAATCTAATATTTAACTTAATTTTAAATAAAAAAATTTCAAGAATAAAATTAACTTCATAATTTTTTTCAAGTAATTAGAATTAAATTATAAAATTTCTTGAAACATTTTAATTTTATTCTTATAATAGTCCCACATATTTAAAAAAAGATGAGTGGTTTT